AGAGTGCTAATGCCTCATGTGTAAGTCTGGTTTCAGTATCACACCTGCCTTCTGATTGTCTGCTCACATCAGCGGGTTGAAACAAGCTACCAGATTTAATGAGGATACGTTCCTTCTTGCATTTGTCAATCACAGCCACTACATTTTCATAACTGTCCACACATACAAATGTGGCAACATAGTAGCAAAGCTGTTTTAGCTTCTATTCTCTTTGTTATCCCTGAAATCTTGTAGTTTGAATCAATCCGGGTACAGACACTTTCATGAAAGTTACAGCACCGGCTTCCCTGAACAAGCACCTTCACTGTCAGCGCTCCAGTTGGTCCCAGCACAGTCCTTCACCTTAAGCATAACACCTGCACTGAATGTTAAGCTTAAGTAGAACTTTATTGCCAGACTAGCACGGCAGATGGGGTGTTTTCTCACACCGTTTATGCAGACACTGTGCATAGCGAAAATAGACTCTTTCCCTTTTGTATCAATTTACAGTGTCCCCTTTTTTTCCCTTCCACAGGTTGTCAGTGAGTCGACACAGCACCAGCAAGACATCATGTAAACAAGAAGAAACAATGTTACTTAAAAAATAATAGCACCAATAATGAAATCTTTTCCTATTAGAATTACAATGATTAATAAGCTGTGCCTACTTTTAGATACAAAATGCTGACCATTTTATGTAACCAGTCATGGAAGTGAAATTTAACCACTGTACATCCGTACATAAATTACTTTAAGCGTCACAGGAAAGACGCAGTGTAGAGGCATAATGCCTTTAGCCTTGTTTTAAATGAAGGGCATTCCAGGATGTTTTTCTGTATTTGTGTTACTTTTCGCTGCAAAAGAAAAGTATCTTGCATCTATCTTGTCTGCAAAAATATTTTAGTGGTAAGAGTAATGTTTCAAATGAGTACAGCTCGTACTGCCGAATTATCCCATCACCCACTGTAGCAATCAATGGCAGATCAATTTGACTGAAGCACCGCAGTCAGATAAATTTCACTGTGTGTATTCCAGGATTTTTACATGTGTATGCACATCGATTGATTAAGATAGGCTATCTCTGTAACTGATTCAAGGAAAGTGAGATGTTGGTTTGAAATAGGAACTCAGTTGTGTTTTGACCTTTGAGCTCTCCAGCATGTGCCTGATGGTATGTGTATGAGTAACCATGGTATCCTCCTTCGCTCTGACAAAAACTCAAATAAAAGATTTCACTTGCTGGGCAGAAAGTTTATTCAAATTCTGTAACTCATATCTCTAGGCATTAGCATTCCTCAGACAGCATGCGTGCATTTTCATCCAAATCTTTATGAACTTTCTCTTCCCACTGCATGCATCAACTGATGTGGCCCGTTTTAGCTTTCCAAAAGATACTAGCTCCCCCAGCCAAGCGTAACACTCTTCTGCCAACATTTAATTTTCTTCTATACACAAAACACGAGTTGTGGCTTTCTTGAATTTATCAGTAACCAGTCTGATCTTGGTGCAGGGAAAACAAAACAAGGGCGCATTAACGAGCGGCCCTTTGTCATTCTTGGTCTCCAGCAGAAGCAGATGAGCAGAGCAACAAGAATTACAGTCTGTGCAGTTTGTTTCTAAAGCCACTGGACTGAAAATGTCATCAGAGATAAAAATTTGTTGGGGTGGAGGAGAGAAAAAGGAAACACAGAAACAATAAATGAGCCTGCAAGAAAGAGCAACACGGGAAGAAGAGAAAAACAGAGGACAAATATAATGAAAAGGTTATTCTGAGACAGAGACACGGGGAAGATCTAGAAAGAGATAATTACGCTGAATAACATAAAGAAGTATGTGACTGCTACTCCAGTAATTAGTGGAGCCATGACGGTGTGCTTTCATCACCGAATCAACAGAAAGGGCAAACTGCTCCTGTGTTCTTTTCCCTCTAAATAAAGTTTCCTCACTTCTGTGAACTCTCCTCTTTTTTCCTAGGAAGCAAAAAGCTTCAAGCATTACTGCACTTCTTATTTCTTGATTAGTTTTGCTGTTGTATTTGTCGTTACATAACTGCTGCAGTTTGTAATGAAGCTACACTGCTAATGTAGCCTGAAACCTACACTGTCAGAGCACATAAGAATGCAACTGACTGGAAATCCAGATGCTTGTTTTTTCTCCATTACTTATGTTAATGATTCTTAAGCAGCTCTTTATCACAGCCAACACCTGCAGAGTAAAAATGATATTTTGAAGCTCATATCTGGTGTTTAAGAACTCGTTTTTCTCTTTACTTTGCACACTTTGTCCTCTCTAAAAGACTTGAGCCATCCTGCTCATCTTCACATTTTGCTTCCAAGGAGCCAGACTTTCTTGCAATTTCTTTCAAAGACCTTAAAATGTCTTTTTGAAGGTCTTGCAAAATTTTGGCTTTTTGCACTCATCTTCAGGGCAGTTCCTGTACATGACCATTATCAGAGCAATGCAGCTTTTTTGTTTTGTTTGTATGTTTCTTAAGCCAAATAACATTGACCAATGAATTAT